GACGTTTAGGTGGTTCGTTTAACTATTATATGTGACGGACGTTTTTTATGGGGGGGGGGGGTAATGAAAGTGTTCCAAAACGCGACATTAATTTCTTGACGACCTTATATATATATATACTTGTAGTTCCTGTTGGTTGAAAATTGTTTTTATAGGTCAGTTTCACAACAAAAAAAAAGATAGGACTACTTTCAAAATATACGTGTTTATAGGTTTACTGAAAATGTAACAAATACTAAAAATTTTGAATCTGTTAAAACAAAATAAACATTATTTGTGTCTTTAAGAAATGTGGATACTTATCGACTATTATGCACATTAATCAGGATGTTTAGAGAATGTGCGTATTTCCTGCACATTATCCTGCGCTAATTATGCATGTTATCCAGACACTGCAACATTTTCAAATATACTCTTAAATTATTGATATTGGTTATTATGCAAAATATAATTTGATGTACAAATTTGCAAATGGAAGAACATAAGTTAACAATGTGTTTAGTTAATTTCAAATTAATATCCTCTCGAGAAAATAAGCAATATTCGTTCCAGTCTTCGTAACATTTTTATTAAATATTACGTAATTGTTTGTTTGTAGTTATGCACAAAGCTACACAATGGGATATATGTGCTCTGCCCACCATGGGTATCGAAACCCAGTTTCTAGCGTTGTAAGTCCGGCTATTAGGAAATGATCCATAGGAAAATATTTTCGCCTTTTACAGTCATACCTGAACCCTATTAATTATTTACTAATGGTTACCTGAAACCTTTCAGAAGGGTGATAAGCAATGCATACATTTAAGACAGGGGAACGAAATACTAACATGTAATAATAATCATTTTATAAATGCAAAATTATGTAGGGATGTCAGTGCCATAAAAGAATGCAAACAAGAATAAAATGGATGACACAGCTATACATAAATTATCCCTACAATGTAAAATGCATACTGCAGTTGGAAGTTATATATTTCTGACTGTTTGTGTGCAATTTATTTATCATAATATCATGGTCATGTTAGTTTAGGCATCATTGTACTGTAACTAAGAGCCTAGCACTTACGTACATGGAAAACCAAGTTGAGTCAAACATATCTTGATTATTTCAGACTCGCTATGAGGTCGGTCAATAAGACCGACCTCGTAACCATTTTGTACTTGTGCACTTTACAGTGTAACATTAAATTTTAATATTGAAAGTTATGTATAGCTGTACCATTCCTCTATTCTTATTTGTATTATTTTTGGCACTGCCATCCCTACATCATTTTACATTTACAAAATGTCTTTAGTACTTGTTTTTGACGTTTCTTCTCCTGACTGAAAGTTACTGTATTCTAATAATGTGTGTAATAAAATTTAATATTACGTGTATTGATTTTTTTCTTACTCCTTCACCAATTGTATAGCTACAAAGCATTGAGTATTCTGCATGTTACAATCATCTAATGTTCATATATTATTGGCTGGTAATTCCAGTTTCACATTGTACTTAAGCTTTTGAAAGAACACCAGATTTCTGTTAGAAAAAGCTAACTTAACATCGTTTACGCTAGAAGATTGTACATTGCAAAAAGTAGCTGATATTAATTGGACATTAACGAATTTTAAGAAATACTTCAGTTAATTAATGCACATCAATTTATATGAAAGTATTGTATAAAATTCCATTTTCTAGTATAAATATATAAAACGAGGATTCAAATAAAGGATGACTTTTCCAACAGTTTAATATTTTTAACTTAAAATTTTGTTGATTAAAAACATAGCAAGAGTTCTTTAACTTCTTCTTATCTAAAAATGTCATTAATAACGTTTTCCAGTTTTTGGTCATATTCACGATAGTTACTGCAAAAGATGCATTAACAAAATCGGACACATGTAACTGTGGCATCAATGTTTTTGCTTGTTTGTTTATTTATTTATTCAATCAGTTGTTACGGATTTGCGTGAATGTAGTGTCTTCCTGCATCCTTGCAGTATTTTGTGAAACAACTTTGGTCATTTTATTGATCCTGTGTTCAGTGTAGCTTCACGCCCATGCAATAAGCATCGATTCCTTATTTAGCTGAAATGAATATTTGATCATATAAAAAGCAATAAAATATACACGCAAAAATCCATCTGCATTTGTATTATAATTTGCAACGTGTGAATTTTGTCAAAAATGGCTCTTACTTTGTCGACATTGTTTGTATATTGAAGGCACGACAAGTGAATCTATTCAGTTTCCTATGCTTGTTTATTACCAGCTTTTTACAGTTTCACTAAACGTAAATACTGCTATTTTGTCCATTTTCTGTCATCTCATATTTTCCCCTTTTATCATTCTATATTTCATCAAAA